GTCTTACTTTAAGTGAAGTGTAGGAGTAATTCTTAAGTGTCAGTTTTATTTTAAGTGAAGTGTAGGAGTAAATCTTAAGTGTCAGTCTTACTTTAAGTGAAGTGTAGGAGTAAATCTTAAGTGTCAGTCTTACTTTAAGTGAAGTGTAGGAGTAAATCTTAAGTGTCAGTCTTACTTTAAGTGAAGTGTAGGAGTAATTCTTGTCAGTCTTACTTTAAGTGAAGTGTAGGAGTAATTCTTAAGTGTCAGTCTTACTTTAAGTGAAGTGTAGGAGTAATTCTTAAGTGTCAGTCTTACTTTAAGTGAAGTGTAGGAGTAAATCTTAAGTGTCAGTCTTACTTTAAGTGAAGTGTAGGAGTAAATCTTAAYTGTCAGTCTTAGAGCTGATTTGTGACACCTGGCTGTGCCACAAAGCTGATCCTGGATGACGTCGTTAGAAAAAACACTGACATGGACCAATCACTGCCTCAGATTTCATGTTCAAGAATATTGTTGGAGAAATGTGAAGATAAAACTGTGAAAATCCTAAGATAAGTTTACTTTCAACACACTAATGTTCACCTTGTTCTGATTGTCTGTAAATTACATCAAATGTCCTCATTTCTTTCTTTTGAGGGGAGGGTCACATGCACTCACCAGCTGACTATATTTAATATTTTCTCCAAAAGCTACACAGATATCCACCTTTTAGTTCAACATTATGCACACTGGAGCAGTCTGAACTTTTCTTCAGAGTAAGAGTGATTATTAGACTTAAGACTTTTGATAACTGGCACTTACACTTAAGTCTGACAGTAGGAGTTAATCTAAGACATTTTCAGTACTTAAGTCTAAAAATCCACTCTAAGAGGTTTTATAAATATGAGCCCTGATCTAAATCCTGTTGAACATCTGTGGAAGGAGCTGAAACATGCTGTCTGAACCTTTATACCTGAGACAACAGGAGCAGTTTGAACACTGGTCTAAATTACCTGTGGACAGGTGCAACAGTGTCATCGATAATAACAGATGTCTATTGATTGCAGTGATTGCCTCAAATGGTTGCAACAAAAACCATCATTTTTACCCAGGCCTGTTTCAATATTTTATTTTTTTTAATAATGTTTAATTCAAGAGCTGGGTGTGATTTTCATTGGTTAATTTTTATTTAATATTAGCTTTCATTTTCAAGTTATTTAACAGTTAACAGAGGGCTACCAACAATTTTGTCTGAACCATAAAACTAGTAAATTGTGCTGCAACATGGGCACACAGTGAATCATAACTCCTGTTCCAAAAAGGTGATGTGTAAAATGTAAATAGAAACAAAATCTTATGAATGCTCAGTTTTGATTTTCTGTTGATTATTTTGAAATTGTCTAACCTGTCTGAATATATTTGTTTTTCCAGTCTGCCCATCTTTACTTCCATTTCATTTTGAAAATGATCTTTTTATCCTGTTTTCATACTGACTCATTTCCAATCAGCATATTTGGTGGTAAAATGCTCTTTCAGTTGTTTCTCATCACTTTGACACGCTGTTTCCTTTAATTAAAATTATTGAGGCATATCAAATTAGAGAGCAGAGGAAAGCGCTGCGAAGAAAAACATTTCTATTACAGAAAGAGCAGCAACTTTGTCTTTATTATAATTGTGCTACATTAAGTTTAACTACTGACAAAAACAAACATTATGATTCTTAATCAGTAATAAAAACATGAGGAAAGGTTTCCATAAGGTCAGATTATAGTGAGGATAAAGTGCTCCCTCTAGTGGTTGGACACGAGCACTGCAGTCAGTCTTTAAAACATGATTCAGACCTCATTACTGGTCATCATATCTGCACAGGGCCTCAGCATTTAAAACACTTCACACAGCTGTTTTATAAACTTTTATTTCTCAACAGGTAACCTTTATAGGTAACAACTTTTATACTTGGAATTATTGTCGTAAGATTTCTTACAATTTACAAATAACAAGAACTCCCATTCACACAAATCTAATCAACAGCAAATTTACAAATATAAGTTTACTTTGTTAAAATGGACACAAAAAGTCTTTAAGGTGTGTTTTCTGGCAGTAAATGGAAAGAAGACAGCATCGTTTGGTGCTGATGTGTAAAACATTGTGAATCTGAAGGCAGTTGTGTAGTTCATGTTGCTTCTCCGCCCAACAACTGTTTGATCCTCCATCACCAAAATGTAACACCTGCATTTGGCCCATGGGGATAATGCTAGGTTTAATTATTTGCCTCATGATAAAATATATTGTTGTTTATAAACTGGCTCCAGTTTTCCCAGAACAAGAGAAGTTTCTCTTTGAACCTTTGCAGGAAGCAGATTTAGTCGACAGTGGAGGTGATTTTGTTTGGCTGGCATCAGTTTGATAAAATACAACGATAAAGGCAAAGAGCAGATATTTTACTACAGGTAGTTCCAGTAACCTATACAGCAGGGATGTCCAAAGTGTGGCCCGGGGGCCATTTGTGGCCCCTGACTTCAGTTCAAGAATTATAGAAGATTTATACTAATTTCTTTACAAATTTACAAATTTGTCCCCCTGGCACAGCTGTTTGATGTGGAGACTTTATATTAATTATTAGGGCTAATTTATCACAAAATAAAATCTTATAATAAAAATATTGGCAACAAAACAAATTATTTGTCTTTAAATAACCAGACTTTTATCTTTTTCCACATTTATTTAGTGACTTCTACTCAGAAGCTGATTTTGCTGCACTCCAATTCATTTATTAAATTCATCTGAACACAAGCATTTTCAATAAAAGAATGACATAAATCCTGATTTTATTGATCAGAATTGATTAAATTGGTTTATTTTTCCCCAACTGAAACCTAGAAAATTGCAAAATTTCTTTCAGTTAGGGAAACCTGCAAAACAATTTTAAACTTCTGGATCTACATTAATTTACGCACTTGTTTCCAGCAATAAATCGGACTACTTTATTTGTTTAATTAAAGTATTCAGTGTTTAGTTTATTGTTGAGCAGGTAAAGGAGAAATATTTTTGGCCCTCAGGTCCTTCTGACTTTATGATTTTGGCCCATGTGACTAAATGTTTGGACAGCCCTACTATACAGGAACACATCCAAACTTAAGCTTATAATAAATCATTTAAACCTCAAATTTTTTCTTTAAAATGCACCTTTCCTTTTTGATTTTGTTTTGTTGTTTGTTTGTTTATTCTTCCAGTTTTTTTAGACTCATTTATAAGACAAAGACCTTACATGGGCAAAAACATGTACCCATTTCACAAGTGTGCGCATCACTCACACAAATCATTAGATTATGTTAATGTGTTGGCAGAAATCCCATTAAAATGGATCAAACAGGAAAAAGACGCCCGTCCAGTCTCCACATATACTTAAAAACAGAGGTCTTTGTGTGCAGAAGAAAATAAGTAGAGGATTTGACAAATTGTTGCAGCGACCCAAGCGACACATCTGGGTCATGGTCTCTGTCCTGGTCCCCCCTCTACCTGCTTTTCACCAATGTCTGGACTCGATCAGCTCGGCCCGCAGGCTCAGCCGCTTCAGAGTTTCATATCCCACCACGATGAGCACAGAGGTGGGTGTGGCGGACATAATGCGGGCTGACAGTCCTTTGGTCATTACCCAGACCCCCTCCTCTGCCAGCAGCTGCTTGAAGGTCCCGATGATGGACGATTGTCCCTCCACCTGGGGAGATAGGTCAGATCGGCTTTGTCAGGTGCAAATATTCATGTGGCCAGGTTCAAAGCTCAAAGGAAATCTCTCAAAACAACCATCTTTATGGTCACACACCACGTAAACGTGCAAAGTGTGCAGTAATGTTTTTACCTCTGTCTGTATACACTGCCTGGTCAAGAAAAAGTTGCCACCTGGATTGAACTAAACAAATCGGTAGAAGCCTCCTATTGGAGAATTACTGCACTGGATATTATCTTTCAGCTTGCAACAAGTTATTTAACCCCAACTGGTGCAGTGAGTTGCTTCTCATTTCTTAAACCATGTAGAAAGACACAATACTTTTGTGGAAAAGATGTCAGTCTGAAAAGGGACAAATCATTAGCATGCATCAAGCAGAGAAAACATCTAAGGAGATTTGTCCTGATGCATCTCAGTAATCCAGGTAAAAAATCATAAAGAAAAAAATTGTATAGGTCCTCTGGACGGGTTCTTCTCTAATGAAACGTTTCGTCTCT